TGGGAGGGGGGGGGGCTGAGCGGGAAAGGGCGCGAAGGAGGAACAAAGTGCTTTGTCTGAACATTTGCACCATCATCTCGGGCATGGCACACGGTAGTGGTGTCTGACCATGTGCCTCTCCCTCCTGCCCCAGATTCTCCTCTGCCAGGAGCCAGCAAAAGTTGAAGATCCCATGATCTTGCTACACCCTTTCTGTGTCGAGCCGCTGGGGTATCCCACAGATGGGGGCTTGCACAAAGGGGCTTCATAATCCAGGGCTGGAGCCATCACAAGCTGTTACCACAGGCGTTTTATTCAATTGACTCTCCCCACAGTAATAAGGTGCTTTAATTATCGCCAGAGGCTGCAAGTGAAGGCACCATCCCATTTGTAGCAGCATCTCATCATGGCAGGAGGGAGTGGGGCAATGAGAGGACCTAGAAGGAGCAAAGCCCAAATGATCTCCATGACTAGCACAACTAGCAGGAGAGTTCACAGCAGGACAAGGGAAAGGCTGAACTGAACGGGGCCCGATTCAGAAAGGGATGCAAGCCAGCACCTAACTAACTCTAAACAGGTGAGTTGTCTTACTGAGATCAATGGGGGTGCATCAGGGCTGGCGGCTGGGAGGTTTGAAAGATCCGTCCTGTAGAAAGAACAAGCAGAGCTGCTTTAGCTCCCTGCCAGAGCAGTCCATTCCTTTAGGAATAATTTCCCAGGTTAATGGGACGGAGAGAGTGGGGCCAGATGGATTAGCCCTCTACAATGAAGTTGCCATTTTTCCTGGTTCCCTTGGAGATCTGCCCTTTGGGGGACATTAAGCCCCCACTTGAAAATGTAGCTGACTTGAAAATGTTTGGACTCCCCATGCAATTCAACCACTGGGCCACAGTTCCAATACGTCCATACACCAGGGTTGCAACTTGCTAAATTCCTTGGTCTTCATGCAGGAAAATTCCCTATGGCAGTTGTTTCCTAAAGACTGCAGTACTGGCCCAGACTGTGTAAACACTGCAAAGTCTCCTCTGATGCCAGTCAACACGCTGTGACTTTCTCTGCTAGGAAATGATTGTGTTGCCAACTCCCCATCTAATGTACACCCTGGTTACTGCAGAATTCATCTTCTAATAAGAGCTCTGGGATGCACTTTATTAATTATTCTAACAATCTGCACTCCACAGTTTCAGTTCGATTTGATTTCATCCTGTCTTTCTGCAAAATATATGGCTGAGTGCATCGGATAACGTATGGCTTAATTTAGAGTTGCATGGGTTTGAATTACCATTTTCATAATGTGTGTGCATTAATGTGTGACATCATTTACACAGAAAAATGTGCCTGGTTTCAAACTTATTCTGAAAGCAAAAACCACCTAAAGGCAACACAGTGAACCAAAAATGAGCCTTTCAACCCCAGATGGCAGTGGGTTTTGTTGGAGGGAAAGGGGGGAGAATGTTGCTCAGATAACACAGGTGGGTGTTAGGACATTGGTAAATGCATGTTTGGATCTGTATTGGCAGCAAGCAGCTCGCCTCATTATTGCATAACAACAAATTTTCCAGCTCGCCCTGAATTGCAGGAGACCTCCAGTGGTTGACTCTCAGTTGACCCTGCTCCCAGCTCTCTCCCATGAATGGCTATAATAACACCAGCTGTCCGTTACTCAAACTCTGACTGAGGAGGAAAAAGCACTGATTATCCAAATACAGTCATTAAAGGGGAAATGTGTTTTTAGGACTGTCAGAGTGATTAATGAGGGTTAGCAATCCTTGCAAATGCACTTGTTTAGTCTAACTGGCAGCCTCTATTTTCCTATTGATTTATTGCAGCAGTTGCTGAGGCCACAGCGTGTGTGTGGAAAGAGCCAGGACACTTCACAACTGTGTGCTATTTAAACAGAAAACATGCAAGATTTTGTTGCCGGGGTGGGGGGAGGAGGATCAAATGAAAGGCATGGTGCGCTTTTGCTTTGACTCTGCCTCCGACCCGAAGCGAACAAAGGCAACATTATACCTTGTGCTGGAAAAGGAGTGACTTGGATGCACATGCAGAGCAGTTCCTGCATGCTGGGCTCCTTATAAATATCCCCATTGGTAAAGGCTGAAGTCAAGCTGACCGCAGAATGATCTGCCCACCTAATAAATATGTGAATGAAAGCGGAAGGCGTATTTTTTTTTCTCCCTTCTGCACATGGATTCCTGGTGTTTTTCAGGTGAGGCAGCGATGTCTGCCCACAAACGCACACAGCATTTCAAAGGACAGAGTGGGGCACAAAGTTATGTGCCCCTCAAGAGCGTCCGACACACACATGCCAAGCAAAGGTCACACGAGCATGCTGGGCAGAGGCGAACAGGGGAAGACTAGGAGTTCTCTTAGCCACAGAAAGAAGCTTTTCTCTCCCCCCCCCCATATTAGTCCTGATGGAAGCAGCAGCCCTGGAGACTAAAAGTCCTGCATTTATCCCCAGAAGTGGGACAGAGTGGACAATGCCAGCCCCATGCCAGGGTACCCCCAGTGCTGACCTAGAAGGGCTATTTCTAGGGGGCAGAAGGAGATCAGTCTCCAGGGCCCATTCAGCCCTCTACTGATGCTGCCAGCAGAGAGGACACTAGTGCTAGGCATCATGGTGTCTTTATAGGCCAGCAAACATCTGCCCATTGTGCTGACTTTTTGGTTGCTAGACTCACAGGCCCATATTCAACCTGGTGGCCTGGAGCTGATGCGAAGAAGCTCCACATGTAACAAAACGAAGCACAGACAGGAGGGATGTCCTGTAGGTGGCCCAAGAGGGAAATAAGACCCCTTGTCTGCAGTGGTGCAAAGTGGCAGTGTTCTGTGCAAGTACCCGGAAGGTCAGCACGGCATAGCTGCTGTAGTGAGCCTGTGTCCTTTGCCGAGCTGCACTGGAGCAGTTCATGAAAAGCAGGGAGGTACCAGAAGGAGTTGGGCTCCCAGGACCCCTGGTTACAGGGAGCAAAGCGGGTAAAGTGGCAACACTCAAGAGAGCCCTGGCTGCAACAGACAAATAGGGAGAGGGGGTTGTAACTGCCACCATGTAAATTGGGACTTGCTTAAAGGACAGAGAATTCCGTTCCTCCGGCAAGGGGGTGTGTAACTCTCATTACCCTTAATGGGAGCTGTGCGTGCCATGGGGAGAGGGGACTGAGCTGGGAGCGTATTCCTGACAGTGCCACACCCACAGTGGATGTTATAAAAGGTTAGATAATTCTGTGGCCAATAATACATGTGCTAAGATCAAGGCAATTGCATCTCATGCTTCAGGGCTACAGGAGACTAGAGGAAATCCTCACCCGAGCCCACTGCATTGCTGATATGGCTAGCTGGGCTCATCTTCAACCAAAGCACCAACCACTGTCAGAGACAGGATTCTGGACTAAATGGATCATTCATCTGGTCTGGTAAAGGATTTGCTATGTTCCTAGGTGTTTAGGGGTTCAAAGGTCTGGGGGTGGGGTGGGACACATGCCTGTGTCCTACTTGAGTCTGTAATTTGGAGTAAAATAGGGTTCAAATATGCACAAACCCCTGCAGGCCTGGATCCGTGCAGAGCAAACGTGGGGAGACTGTAGGCAGGGCTGGGGCTGAGTGAAGCTGCATGTGCTAAGTGCGGGCACAGAGGAGAACTGGAAAGCAGTCAGTGAATTATTCAATGCCCAAGGGTTTGGGCGCAGCCCATTCCAGCTGCAGACCCGGCATGTGGATGGAGAAGGAACTGCAAAGAGTAAGCCAGGGAAGAGCAACAAAAAAACCAGAAGGGACAGAGTCCAGAAGGCGGCAGTGAAGGAGCCATGAAGACGAGGAAAACACGGAGCGTGTAAGAAAGATTTCACCAAGGCTTACTGGGGAACGGCTACTGTCATTTCCTTGATTAAAATAGATTTATTCGACAGACTCTTAGCATGTGTAAATCAGCATAGCTGCACTGAAGTCAATCGAATTGCACCAATTGACACCAGCTGGGGATTAGGCCCATTGACTTGATAATGATAATAATAGCACTTAGCATCAGGTGATCTCACAGTGCTTTACAAAGGAAGTCAGCATCATTATCCACAGTGCACAGAAAGGGAAACTGAGGCCATGAAGTGATTTGGCCAGTGTCACCGATCAGGCCAGTAGCAGAGAGGAGAACATAACCCTGTCCGGCGCTGTACCACTAGGCCACACTGCCTTGTAGATTTACACCAACTAGGAATCTAGCCCACTGACTTCAGTAGAGCGATCCTGATTTACACCAATGGGGAGTCTGGCCCATTGTTCCTTTAGAGGTTGCAGACACGGTCACATTACATGTGGAAAAAACAGCATTGTTATAAACATGCTTTTGTTAGGATATAAATCAATCTCAGGGTTACTGAGAAACAGCCCGCAGGTTAATCCATAATTGTCCTCTCTGCGGTTACTTGCACCTTCCTTTGAAACATCAGGGACTGTCCCCTCCTGGAGATAGGAGACTGCACTAGACAGGCCACTGGTCTGACCTGGTATGGCAGTCCCTACAACAGATATCTGTCCTTTGATGCAGTCATTCAGCTGGTGACAGTCTGGAAAATGCCATTGTGTTAGCCAGTGGTTCTCAAACTTTTGTAGTGGTGACCCCTTTCACACAGCAAGCCTCTGAATGAGACCCCCCCCCATGTAAATTAAAAAAACTTTTTTATATTTAACACTATTATAAATGCTGGCGGTGAAGCAGGGTTTGGGGTGGAGGCTGACAGCTCACAACCCCCCAAGTAATAACCTTGCGACCCCCCAGTTTGAGAACCCCGGGGTTAAGCTAAGAGGCCATGGAGATAGCATTACCTGCCCTGTTTCTCTGCAGAATGTGGCCTTGTTAGCTTTCATTCAGCTTTACACGGCAACGTTTGTAAGTGATATTGTTCATTATTGTGATGCATGGTTAATAGTTTTCCCTCTGTTTACTATCATGACAAATAACTGGAGATGTAATTCCATATATACAAATGTCTCAGCTAAATACTCACTGGAGATCTCTGGGGGAGACATTCAGCTGACAGCTTGGTTTACAAAGTACTGTATAGTTCTTTAGCTTGATTCACAATAACAAACAGATTTCCACAGACCATAATATTTTCTAACATGGCAATTATGAAAACTACCCAGAGAAGCTTCGCCATGACTTCATACCACCTTAGAGCATGGGATCGCAGAAGCTAAACCAGGGCTTGCAGGCTACATAAACCTGGCAGATCTGGCCTCTGCAAAGATGCACTAACTTCAAAGACACCATTGTGTCACAGGCTGTTAGAGGCTCTGGTGGTGGGGCCCAAGACAGAACTCTACTGACGTTGCACCCGCTGACAGCCAGACTGAGCATTATCAGCCAAGCAAAGCAAGGTCCTACACTCAATTTGATGGTATGTCTCTGTTTGGATATTGGGATGTAATGCAATAACGTTTGAATGCCGCACCCAATCGAATCCAAAATTTCAGAGAATGTTCGAGGCATCAGTGGTTTTGATTTTGGTGAAAATCGGAGAACTGGAAGGAGGAAATGGAAGACACACAGAGCCCTTGGCATCTGGTTAGCAGTCAGCAGCTTCAAGCAGGTCTATAATTGCGTATAGGTCAAAGGCCCGGCTGCTGGTGCCATTAACACCTAAAGAGTAAACAACAGCCCCATCTCAGTAATGCCCATTCTCCCAATAGAGTTTAACATGCTGACACCCTGAATGACTTATCTCCCAGAAAGAAAGAAAAGAAACAATAATGGAAGTGGGGGAGGAGAATGAGGAACCCCAGAAAAGGAGAAGGGGGAAATGGGGGCACACAGACCCCTTGGTGGGGGTAGGGAGAATGGGGGACCCTGGTATGGAGGGAAAGGAGATATGGGGGACACACAGAGCCCCTGGCATATAGTAGAGGAGCGGATGGAGGTTGCAGAGTCCCTGCCATGTGGCATAGATGGAAATGGGAGGGGGCACACAGAGCCCCTGCTTGGGGAATGAGGTTCACATGTGGGCATGGGGAGCTCCTGGTGGGGTAGCAGGACAGGTGGTGCACAGGCAGCCTGGGGGATGGAGAGATGCCAGGAGCCCCTGGTGGGCACAAAGAGCCTGGCTGACAAGCTACAAAGCACACACCGCCTAATCATTATTATTTATCTTACCGCAGGGCCCCTCAGCCCCAACAGAGACTGGAGCCACAGGAGGTCAGGCCAGAGTGAGTAAGCCCCTGCTGCAAGGAGCCTGGTGTCTCATTGGAGGTGATGAACAACGGCAGGGAGGGTAAATGGGCCTGAAGAGGGGAAGGGACTTTCCCGAGGACACAGAACAGGGCAGCAGGAGAGTCGGGAATGGAAGCGAGGTGTCCTGGTTCCTAGGCCAGCGACTCACCCGCTGCACATGCTGCCTGCAGGGGTCAGGCTAGATGGTCCCTGTTGGCCTTATCAGCTATGAATCACTCACTACAGAGATTTCACGCCTGCTCCTTCAAGAGCCAGGGATTCCCAGTGAGAATGCAAGGCTGTAGCTTTAAAGAAGCAAAGCCTGGTGGGATCCCGGTGGTAGACATAAGGCCTGCTTTCTGCCAGCCGCTCTCTTCTGGGTAGGTTCTGCTGGTGAGGGACTAGGGGAGGGAACCTAGGAAGGCAGTGCTGAGTGTGGAGGAAGGTAGGAAGTGGCGCCTTCATAGCTTTTATTTGCTTTTCCTTGTTTTTTGTTTTGTTTTTATTTTCTAAGAGCAAAACACTTGGCTTCTTTTGTGAGCTACAACTGCTGAGTCTGCTCCTCCTGCTTGCTTTATCTCTTTCCCTAAAGCACCCACAGCCTATGGTTTTCATTTTTGGGGGCGGGGGGGGGGAACGAGAGAAGGGAACAAACTTTCTTATAGGAGCTGGTAGTTTGTTGAGGGAGAATGGGCGAATCCAGCTATTTATTTACTGCCAGGGCTTTCCTGCTATCTGACTGCACCTGTTCTATGAGTGGCTGAAATGCATGCAATGGAAAGGCCAGCATGGGTAATAATTAATGGGTCAGTGGTAGGCAGAGGGCTAATAGGCTGTCCATCGTGCCTACAAATATCAGACTGCTGGGTGCAGCGCCAGCCATGTTGATGGGAACCATGTCTTTACTAGTGCTCATAAAAGTGACTAATTGTTTTTGCTGAAGTGATTGTTACCTTTGTAGCTTCTCGTTCCAATTATCTGCACAGTTTCAGTGACGTCTGTTGGTCTGGAAAAGAAAAGAATCCAGGTTTCCTCCTCTCCCCTCCCCCCCCAGGTGGAAAGAGTCATGAGTAAACTGCTGATTTGTCCCAGACACAAGCTGATCTAATGCTGTAAGAGTGTTCTGGCCCACCCTAGAGAGTGAAGCCCTGGCCTTACAGGGGTGGGAATGGAAAGTTTTTATCCCAGCAGCCCTTTGGGAAAGTGATTTGAAAAGAACTTCAACCCCCTTTGGGCTGCAGATCCTTTTTTTAGGTGATGACTGAATTGTATATTGGAAATGTTTTCTTCCAGCTGTACAAACGTATTGTGTGCTCATGCCATAGCATCAGAATGCTACTAGTCTTCATCTGCGTTCATAATGCCTGAAGGTTAGTGGCACAGAGAGAGAAAAAGATCCTGCTGTCCTTTCAAATTCATTCTGGGGGGCAATCAGTTGTGACTCGGTAATTCAGGCTGCATCCACATTTCTGTTATAAGCCTTATTTTCACCTCCCTCTCTAACCCTCTATTGGAGTAATATGAGAGAGAGAAGATAGGTGAGGTGATATCTTGTACTGGCCCATCTTCTGTTGGTAGAAGGGAAAAGCAGTAATACATATATATGTTTTGAGTTTTGCAGAAGGTAATACTTAAAATAGGAGATGTACCATGTTGCCAATTTGTGTGATGTTTGGTGTTTTTCTTAAAGTTCTGGCTTGGAGAGCTATGTTATTTCCCAAGAATCTTAGCTCCTTTTTTGGTAAAGGACATCTCTAGCCCCTGTGGTTGCAGAGACAAGCTTGAAAACCTGCATTATTCTTTTAAATCTCCTGATTGGGAGGAGGGGGAAGGGGCAGACTCATGATTTTTGAATGCTTGGGTTGGGCAATACTTCAACAAGAAGAATTGTTTTAATGGAGATTTGATAAGTGCTCATCCACTCCCTATCCAAGCAGCTCATCCCTCACGTTCTCTCCCCTTCCGTATCCCTCCTTGCCCTGCTCACCCCTGCATCGGCCAGGTTTTATTTACCATTGTACATGTCAGATGAATGGCGCAGGGCATGGACCTGGGTGAAGATGTGAATGGTGGCAGCAGGGAGAGGCAGGGGATGAGCTAACAAAATGCAGCCAGATTAATGGAGGGTCATGCCACGCTGTAACCAGCGAATGGAAACACTCGGTGGAGTGGGTAGGGCTGGATATGGAGAAGCAACTACAGGGGAGCTTGGACAGCAGGAGTGGAAACACCTGGCCCCCCTGCATGTTTGTTCCCATGTCAGTCTGCTATGGAAGGTGTTAGCCCGGTTAGCAAACACAGGACTGGTCTGGTCTGAGCAATGAATTGGAGCCGGGAGCCCCACTCTCTGCTGATACCAGTTTAAATTGGCAGTATGAACGCTGATGTCAGTGGAGCGAGTCTGCAAGTCTCTAAGCTCAGGGGCCATCTCTTTGTTACACACGTGTACAGTGCCTAGAACACTGTGGCTGGGGCCTCCCGGTGGGGCCCCCCCAATATGAACAACCCCTAAGAGACTTATTACTGGTGCAAAACCAGCGTGAGCGAGAGGAGAATCAGGCCCCATGGCGGGGTCAGTTGTTTCACCACCAGGTTCCCCAGATTCCCTGTGCAGCTGGGGCTAGCACGGCTGTGTTGTAATGGTGACCCAGCCAGCTCCTGTTCACGCACAACCGTGTAAGGTGATGTGCCAGCTGCTATCTCCCTGGCCCCTTGATTTTTATCATTAGTATCTAAAACGGGAGCCACCCCTGCTGGAGAGAACAGAGAAGGAAGCCATCTCGCTCCATTATCCCTTTACGAAGATCATTCCTCATGTCTCGCATTGGTCTGCTCAGCCGGACTCCGCTGCCAATCACTCTCCACGCAGGCCCCTCTCCCTGCACTGCCCCTGAGCTCGAGAGGTGTATCCTATTCCCCCCACCTTCCCCGACCCTCCCTTTGTTTCAATGAACAGCCCTTTTATCTATTCTGTAGGTACAAATGAAGCTGTCAAATGTGATCAGGCCCTTGATATGACAGGTTGTGGGAGTCAGGGCCCCTCGAACAGAGCGGGCTTGTCTGTCAGAGCTGCCTGACACGCCGCATAATGGCCAGATTGATGAGACTCTGAAAGTAAGGCCCGGTGCGTTTTCAACTCTATTTTGGGTGAAAACACTTCTTGAAAGATCTTGAAAGGAGCTGGCAGTTTAGTAGTTCGAATGATTAATGAGCACTGGCTCTGCTGGGTGGATTTCTCTCTCCGTGCCAGCAGCAGGCCCTCTTCCAACAGGCCAAAACATGGTGCAGCCCCCCTCCCTGCACACAACGCCCCCCTTGTTTTCCCGGAAATGACACTAAAGCGACAGGCCCCGCATATGGAAAAAGTTAAATATAAATTACTGCTGAAAGAGGCCTCGCTGAGCCGCGTTAGTTAAAGATGTTTATGGATTCAGAAACACGGGCCTGCATATGTATTTAGAGATGATAAATGTGATTCAATAAGTAAAGAATTTCTCTGTGGGCTCAGGCAGAACCCGGGGCGGCTCAGGCGCTGGTTAGGTCTCTCTGGCTGACTCTGCCACTGCAGCTCCATAAATCTGGGAGACAGGCTGGGTTTATTTTTTCCTTCCCCTTTTAGGTAGGGCTGGGTTTATTTATTTATTTACTTCAGTGCCAAACAAAATAACTTCATCGAGAGAAGGGTTCCGGCTCCCCGTCCTCAGCCCGCAGGAGCGCAGCCGCGCTCTGCGCCTGTCTCTCTCTCCTTGTGCGCCTGTGTTGTCATCCATCTGACTTGCTGTCTGCCTTTCTCTCTCCCCTTCTGCTTCTGTTTCCGACTCTTTTAGTGGGAGTGCGTCTCTGTGCACGTATGAGTCTTTATTTCTTGCTGTTTCTTAACTCCGACTCATTTAATTGTACTTTGCTTTTAAATATTAAAGTACCAAGGCCAGATCCTGTCTGGGTGCTGAGCACCCTCGATTCCCAGCGGCGTGGGTGGGGAGAGAAGGTTCTCAGCAGCTTTCAGGATCATGCCCAAATGAGACGGGTGCTAATCCTGGGGGCAAACCTGCTGCATGCACCATAATCAGGATATTAGCAGAGCCTATGGCATAAACCAGTACCAGTGCCGCCAGCTCTCGCAAGTGCAGTGTGAGCCTCACAATACGTGGTATGTCTCGTAGTGCTCCAGCCCCTGGCGGCATGAGATTATGTGGAATCGCCGCTTTCATTACCAAAAAAAGTTTCTAGCCCTCAGAGTTGCCGAGTAAAGCTTGAAAATGTGACTCAAGAGTAATCTTAAAGCTCAAAATCCAGAAAGCAAACAGGAAGAGCTCAAAACCTATTTGTTTGACTTAAAAATCATGAGGGTTTTTTTAATCTCCTGACTCTTTTTAGGCCTGAGGCATAGTTTTGGCATGTCTGGGGTCAGCAATGCTGCAGTGCCCTAAATTCCATTCAGATGGCTCAGCTGAGGGGCTTGCTCCTACCAGTGCTGGCACTGGAGAGTGGCTGCCTGGTCCCCTTCTTCCCTTCAGAGGCTTTGCTGATGTGACTTGGGTAGCAGGACTGATCTCTAGCATAGGTGGCTGCCTGTATGGGCTCTGCATCGCCCGCCAAGCTGGCTCTGAAGCAGCCTGAGCTCTCAGAGCTGCCGTGCCTGCAGGAGAGACCTTCCACGGCCCCTTCCCAGTGGAAACATCCACAGAAATGTTTCCTCTGTTCGGATACGTGTATAGATGCAGAACGCTGGTCCTTGTTTGCCTCTGATCTGAGTCCAGGACCTATTCGTCATCCTCAGGACATCTTCAGCCCAGAGCTTCAAAGCTGTGGGGGGGGAACCAAGCCTCCCTCCCTCCCTCTCTCCTTCTTGTGACTCCGTTGCAGATCCCAGTGGAGCACTGCTGATGCATCCACATCGGTGTTTCTCCTTGAGCCTCCCCAACCAAATGGAGCAGTGTCTGCTGCTTGCTGCAGGATGGGGAGGAGCATCAAAGATTCGGGGATGGGTGTGTGTGTGTTTGAAACCATTTTTAAATTGGCTTGGTGCCCACGAGCAGTGCAAGTTCAACAGCTCTGCAGACTGAAGGCCTTGTTTACTCACAGAACAAAGACAGCCCGGACATCAGCAGGACACCACCCCAAAAGAGGATTGGGCTGAGGGCACCGCTGCAAAGGGGGAGTGGGGCCAAGCCCTGGTGAGCATTTGATCCATGAGGCTTCCTGTCACCTGAGTTTCTAGGATGGAGCTTTCTGGGAGCAGGAGCAGCCCCACGCAGTGCAAGATGGGACTGCCCCCTATGCCAGGGTGCAGGGATAGCCCTGCAGGGAGACAGGCTGTCCCCTGCTACCGCATTGTTGGTAACTATTATGACGGGAGCATCTTAAGGTGCTCACAGAAGGTCCAAAGTCAAAGCAGATGCATTTGTGTTGCCCTTGGGGTGAAAACCTCCTTACCTAAGTCCCTAGCAGAGTGAGGAGAACAAGTAAGAGATGAGCCCAAATTGCCGTGTGGATCCTGACCCAAACTCTCGCAGGGCTGCTTTGATCCAGGGTTGTGGTTTGGCCTATTACAGATGGAGATTTGGATCTGGCTCCAACCTCCACCAGAGCAGAGATCCCATCTCTAGTAAAAACCCATTATCCCTGCAACTTCCCATTTAGCCTACCGCTCCCAGGTGGCCTCAGGCCACCAGCACGCATGTCCAGCAGTGTGTGTTCTGCGCAGTAATCCCCTTCTCAAAGGCCATTTGCATGATGTGATTCCCCTTCCCTGGGCTCTCCAGTTACTTTCCCCAGACAGCTGAGCTCTTTGTAGTGACCGGACCCTTCAGAATTGTCACAGTGATTAATGACCAACAACCTTGAAATTGCCCTGATTGCCAGTTTGGGTATTGTTGGCCTGATGCTTAATGAGTTCAGACAGACTTTTGCAAACCACTTTACTCGGGCAGCTGTTTAGTCTCATAGCTTCAGATTCTAGCGGAGTGAGGTGGGAAAGAGGGGACACACCCCACACACACCCCT